AAAATGATTTGGTAAATGACTCTATTTCAGTTGCTTTCCTAGAGATTGGGAGAAGCAGTCCACTGTGCACATATCCTTGAGAATGACTTTTTCAACTTTTAAACTTTTTATTTGGCTATAATTTCAAACACAGAAAAGTTGCAAAAATAAAGATAGTATTAAAGATACCCATATACTTTTACTCAAATTTACTTACTGTTAATAAACATTTTACTCTGCTTCTTTTATCATTTGTGTGCTCTCTGAATTCATATTTTTTCTTGCTAAATCATTTAAGGGTAAATTACGTACATTTTGGTCCTTTCCCCTAAATACTTCAGTGTGTCTTTCCTAAGTATAGGAATAGTCTCTTGAATGTATAGTACATTAATTAATTTCAGTAAATTTGACATTGATACTTTAATCTATGAACAGTAGTACAGTTTTGTCAATTGGCTTAATAATGTTATATATAGCACTTTCCTCCTTGGGTACAGTTTAAGGTCTGGTACCGTACTGAGCTACATTGTTTGAGAATGATTCCAATTATGGCAGATTTTGTTTTTGCTATATACTAAGAACCATACCTATGGAACATATAAAAATCTTAATTGAAGTGGATATCTGATGAAAATTAGACATCTGATAGGTTTCTCTTTATTACTTGATATTTTGCAATTCCTAATGATGATTAGAATGTAATCATACTAATTAAAACTAGTTACTAGCAACTGTTTCTATTAATTACATTATACGCCTAAGTGAATTAGAATCTTTTGAGTCATAGCTAAAATTCTAACAGTAGCCTAATGGTATTAATCTAATTTTAATTTTAAAAGAGATTTCTATTTTTTGGTACTAATTAGCCTAATGAAGGATTACTGGAAAAGTTGGAAACTCCAAGAAGAAAAATGAGATACTTTCTAGTGTTTGAGAGGAATGATTGATGCTGACAAACATAAAATAGAATTTTTAAATAAATAATCCAGATATTGTTTAAAAGGCAAGCTGTTTATTTTGTCACACTCCTTTGCCAGGACACATATTAGTGCCTGTTAAATTTGGCGTTTTTACTCTGATCATCAATGGTAATTTTAAAGCATCTGTAGCATCCAAGAAAAAGGTAACATATCAATTCCAGGATGGGATATGAAACCTTATCTGCCCATTCTTTCCTCTTCCCAGAGCCCATCCTTAGTGGCAAGCCAGCAGCTCCTGGGCACCATAGAGGTTATAATCCTTGTCTTCCCGTGGTTAACGGCAGCCTGTTTGTCTTCTGCACCTCCCTTTCCCCTTTCTCTGGGAACCCGGGGCTGAGGGCTAACAAAACCCTACAGGCTCCTAATCATTATACAAACTCTGCCCACCCAAGAGGCCCCTCTGCCTCCACCAAATTTCTCATTTGGTGACCACATTTGACAGCCAACATTCTCTTATAATCATTTAAAATAATTATTTATATTAGGTTTTCACAAAAGGGATAAACATTTTAAAAGAACTTGGGCCACAGTCTTTGAAAGAACATATTTGTTTAGCAAATGTTGGCAATATTGATTATTCTTTGCTTATTCGCTCCCACAATCCTAATCCTCACTTCACAACTTGCACGTGGTATTTTTAATACTTAGCCAATGAATTAGCACACAGTGAGTTGGAAACTTGAGATTATCTAGTTATGTGTCACTGCATATTAGTGTATTACAGGGACAACTGATGTGGCAAATGCCAATCTGAGGCTCTAATAGTGTGAGTGACCTGGCTGTCTAGTGGAAACCGCGATATATTGCCACGTCTTACCTTGAGGGTGTCATTGATCTCCATGTGATGTGGACTTCTTTGTGGAAACCCACCCCTGCCCCATCCTTTGCTCACCAAGCCCCCCTAGAATTCCAACACTATACGGCCTTTATTTCTGTAGCTGATATTCTGATTTCTAGAATATGTTGTCATAGATTAGTCTATTTTCACTGTTCCTTGTAATGTGCTTTGTCTTTTAAAGATCTAAGATCCACTTTATTTAGATCAGGAAAGATAAAGGGTGCCTCTGGCTATGGAGATGAGTTTGGAACAAGGCTAGCTAAGAGGACAGTGTTTTTAAAGAGGAAACTTTAGGCTTGGTACACTGCAGGAGGAACATCTGTAGCCCCCCTCTCCCTTGCTTAGTGGTAGGTCTGCCATCACTCCTACAAAGGAGTTACTGGACCTTAGGTCCCTTTATCTTTTGAGCTCCACTGAGATGACCTGTAATTTACCTTGCTTTGGAGCTCTGGCTGCCCTGGCCATTTAATTTCAGTGACAACTCTATTTCTCAGCAAATGTATCATATACATTTTTACTCAAAAGCCCAAATAACTTCTTTGCAGCAGCAATTGAGACCATTGGCTTTTTAAAATTTTTTTATTTTTTCACTCATCATTTATTTACAAATACACATTATAACTTTTATATACATTGCACATTTACATGGTAGAAAAGTACAAAACTATATATTTAAATGAATTTATATTTAACTTGCCATGTTTGAAAATATAAAATTGCATCAGAAAAAAGTATTATGAAAAGCAAGAAACTTGAACTGATAAAGCTTTGATATAACTTTTCATGACACATTGGGTGAAGAGAACTAACTTAAAAGGTACAGCAGACTAGCTTAAAGGAAACACCTAAGAAAAGGCTGAATGTGTAGGATTCCCCTTCAGGCTCTTGACACCCATATCACTCAATTTCTTTGGATCTGTAAAGTCTTAAAAGTACAGTAATTAGAAACCTAACGATCCTATCACCCCCTCTCTCTCACAAATGTCTTCATCAAAACAAGAGAACTGAAGTAGGAGTTTCCTCAAAGATGTATCCTCTGTACCTTCTCTCTGAGTCAGAGTTATAATGCCTTTTGGTCAGTCAAGATTCCTTGTAAACAAAACCCGAGGGATCATGTATGTACACAACAGGCAGCAGAGAATCCAATAAATAAACATGACAGAAACTGACATGCCAGTTTGCTAAAGTGGAAAGGAGCCTAACAACAGTGAAATGAAGGGAGATGGATGAGTGAGTGGATAGTAAGGAATGGACTTAAATGGTTTACAAGGAAAAAAAAAGCTTTTACTTTACAAGCAAGAGACCTCACAATAAATAACTGCTCTTCCTTTCACGAATAAATTTCTTCAAAAACAAGGTGTACAGTCAACCAGACATTTTATGTATAAATTATAAAACATGACACAGTATAAATAAATGTCTACAAGTCTCAACTACGGGCCTCATCCAGTAGACCTCACAATGACCGCCTCTCCGGGTCCAATGAGTAACAAGGTGGCCTGGGAGAGAGCATTAGGACAAAGGTCCTTTATGTATAGTTTTCCCCCCAAATAAATAAGCATACACTTATTTACAGTATGGACAATATATTTTTCTTTTTCTTTTTTTTTCTTTTCTTTCCTTCTTTTTTTTTTTTTTTTTTTTTTTTGCCCAAAGGCTATGTCAACACTTAACATTGGTGGAGGGTTTACCACTCTAGAATGGAAGATATAGGAAAGCTGTAGTCCTGGTCTTCATCTTCCTCCTCTTCCTCGGTGTCTTCCGAAATGGCTAGATGGGGGAATACAGGGGAGCTGCTGTTTAAATATGGACAACAACAGCGCAGAAGCAGCTCAGTGTATGTTTTCAAAGCCCTCTGAAACAGCCATATTACAGCGTTGCATTTTTATGTGACTTGCAGTAAGATGGTTTTTTTTTTTGGTTTGTTTTTGGCATCTGCTGTTATGCAATGTTTAAATTTTTTTTAAAAAAAAACATTATCTATGAAGTCAAAAACTGCAGAAAGTTCTGAAGAATCAATGGCTCAGGTTTTACAGGCAGATTCCTGAAATTAGATAAAAAGCGCTCTTGTGTTCTAGGTATAACTGCTTTGGGTCCTTAATTCAGTTAGTAGAGGCAACTGCAAAAAGCAGCAGCCCACGTGTGACAAAGCTGTCTTTGGAAAAGAAAAAAAAACATACTTTGAAGCAGTTAGTTTAGATTCAAGTGTTAATAAAGCAAACAGCAAAGCACACTACTAAAGCAAAAGAAATTATGGGCAAATGACTGGAAACAGGTTTTTAGATGCAACCCCATTGATGATCATTGAGCAAGTCCTAAAAGCCCGGAGACATTCCAGGGACTTTCTCCGTGAATTGCTGAATTGCTGAATTGCTGGTAAAACTTATCAGCTACCTAACTGAAACAGAAATGGGCTTATATGGGGAGTTTTTAGTGCTTCTTACGTCTCCATTCCCTAGGGCTTGCCTAGGAAAGCCTTAAATTGTGGCAAGGTTAGAAATCGCACTTACAGTTACAAGATCCAGAGTGCTTAACTTCCAGCAGCACACCTGAGGAGCAGGCCGCCTCCTTCATGGCACACTCGCTGGCGTAGGTGGCATTGTCACTGGCACAGACAGGCTCCTCAGACTTGCTCTCAGGGCACAGCTCATCGCAGAGGGAACACCGGCCTCTGCCAACTTTGAAATCCCATAAACACTTTTTTCCACCAGTGCACTGGATATCTTCACAGGACTTTGCTTCTAGGATATAATATACCTGTGATGAGTAAATCCATTTCCTCCTTGCCCCCTTTCTCTAGTCTCCTGTCAATGCATGTCAACATATAACATACAGCTTATCTTTCACTAATGGAGATACTGTGCAAAAAATGCTTTACAATAAAACTGAAACCAACCCCCCAACCCCCATTTCCTACCTATTATATTAGTGTATGAAAATACTGTAGTATTTTTTTTGGAACAGGATTTCACCGTATTCTTGACTTAAATGTGTATTTGATTTCCCACAAGGGGGTTCTTTAAAAAAAAAAAAAGAATTCCATCAGTTATCAGAATCTGATAACACATTTTAGGAACTGTTAAGTAATTATTTCTTGCTTCCAGCAAGTCTAGCACTTAAAAAATGTGTAAAATTGAGTTCTAAGTTTTCTAAGAAGGGAAATTGTTTCCCATTTCTTGCTGGTATTTGAATATATATGCCAATGCTTCCGGAAGACAATGGTTTTCTTCAGGAATGCTGTGGTCATGACAGTTTACCCAAACTGGAGAGTATTTCTCCCTTTGGTGAAGCTATGTGTTTAGGGAGGCTTTGGGCCTATTTATAGGTTAACCTCACAGTTTTAACACTAGAAGTAGCATTTTTCTCTTTTCCTGTTTTTTCTTTTCTTTCCTCAATCCAGAATACCTACTGATACACTTTCCCTCATAGGCCAGTCCAATAGATCTGCCCAGGAGGCAGGTAGCCTTTCTTAGGTGACAGGCACTGGAGTAGGTCACTCCATCATTTCCACAGAGATACTGTTCAGAGGAGGTGGGCTCCGGGCAAATGCGGTTACATGTCACACAGTAGGCGTTATTAGTCTGGTCTACCACGCATGTGGAGCTGCCTGGACAGAAAACATCCCGACAGGTCTCTGAAACAAAGAGGGAAACAGACATTAATAGGCATCTTCTGGTCCCTGAGGACTGAGCATTTGATACTATTAAGGAAATCACAAAATAGAATCACCCAGCTTTCAAAAAGCCCTTTGGGAGCCCTCTGGTTTTCAAAACCAAACTACGACCCTAGGTTGGTCCCTTCAGTGTCCTTAAGGAGTCCTTGGAAGTTAGAAAAGGGTTCCTTTATTTGGTATCATTATTATTATTATTATTAGGCTCTTACTGCAGACTACACCTTCCCACAGGGGTCTTCCAGTGGGTCTAGCTCAGGCAGAAAGCTGGAGGAGGGGCGGGGTAGGACCTACTTTTACATTTGCCCTGGTACTGGACTTCCAGTTCTGGCTGCTCTTTACATCTGGCCTTGAGGAGTGCACATTCGTTGCGGTAGGTTTTCCCGTCCAGCCCACAGACTGGGCCTTTCCAGGTGATGTTAGAACAGTCTGGGGCGCAGACGCAGCGGGGTTTGTTCTTCTTGTTCATTCGGCATTTTTTCCCGGGTCCACAGTCCACGTTCTCGCACGTTTCTAGGAGTTGGAAAGAGGCAGAGATTGAAACCAGGGTCAGGCATCACGCAGGTCAGCCAGCAGGGCTGCGGATGCCTTGCGCAATCTGCAACCAAGAGTTCGAGACAGAGGGGCCTAGGCTCTTGCCCAGAAGCTGAGGAGGGACGGGGGTTGGGGACCGTGGGTTACATCCCATACCCAAATTTCCCTCAAAGCGCGCGGGCTGTCTGGCTTCACCGCCACATTTGGCTCAGAAATCTGAGAACTTCTGCCGACTTTGTTTTGCCTGTAGTATGTGACAGGCAAGATTCAACCCGAGTGGCTTACCAGGGCTGGGGGAGTTCGGGGAAACCCGCGAACAAAGCTCTCCCAGTCCCAAACCCCAGCTGGGCAGCAGGGAAGCTGAGGGTAAGACGCCCTCTACTGAAAGCCTGCAAACTGGGGAGGAAGAGCCCTACCTTTACAGGGGATGCAGTTGGGGGCGCCCCCGTTGAAAATCATCCACTTGAAGAGCGTGTTGTCATTTACGTCCTCCTCTGTCCACGAGGTGCTCAGGCGGCCGGTGCTGCAGCACTCCTCCTTGCTCAGTTCTGTCTTGTACAGGACCTGGCAGCGGCCGTTCTTTGCCTGGCGGAGCCAGCAATTCCCAGCTGCGGGGAGACAGGGGTGGGGAGGTGGGCGAGTAAGCGGCGGGGTAGGGGGAGGGAGGCGGCGAGCCGGCGAGGGCAGGAGGAGGCCCGGCGGGGATGGGGAGGGAGTGAGCGTGGAGGAGGAGGAGGAGAGAGAGATGGTAGAGAAAAGCAGAAAATAAACCGGAGGGAGTGAAAGGGGTGGGGAAAGAGAGGGGGAAAAAGCCTAGACTGAAGAAGTGGGAGGTGGGCGAGGGGGAGGGAGGGCGAGAGCGAGAAGCCGGAGCGCCCCAGCCATATCAATGTCAGTTACCAGTGACCCAGACACAACACGTGCAGCTTGCATTGACTTTTACTAGACTGTTTACTTTTATTCGTCCCATTTCATAACCTGCAGCGACTCGAAGAGCAGATTAAAGAACCTGACAAAAACAGGATGCGACGGATGTTTTTACATGTCGGTTTCATGTAGGCGGTATGAGTATTATTTGTGACAGAGGTTAAGAAAGTAGGAGAATTTAAGACAGCGAGAGAAAGGGGGAAAAAGGGTTGGGAGGTGGAGAGAGAGACCGAGACAGACACACATACAGGAACAGATCAAGGAAAAGGCACTTGTGAAAAATGAAAGCAAAATAGCAATCGGGCCCTGCCCGGAGCTGCCCCGCGCGGCCTCGAGGAGCAGCCCGCCCGACGGGCCCGTTTTGCAATCCGCCAGACCCGGAGGACGCCCGCGGCCACCGCGATCTTTCGAAATCTCCGAGGGCTGCTTTCCCTGGCGCCCACGTCCCCGGCACCCAGGCAGCGCCTCGCCCGGAAAGGCGGGCAACTCAGAGGAGTGCGTTGCAGACGGCATGGGGCAGTGCCCAGGGAGACAGCTTACAATACACTCAAAATGTTAACGCTGAAACCAGGAAAGTTACACGTCTGTCTCAAGAAAAGTGTAGGGTGAAAAAAGGGGTTGGGGGGGGCTTCCTACCATTTCACGGTAACATATATGTACCTATCTCATACCTACCAAGAAATCTTTGCAAGTGAATTTTCCCCCTTCCTCCCTTTTAATGTTTGGACTTTGGTCAGGAAGACTTCTCATGAATCATCCACATAACTTTAACAGTAACTGGACCGCAAGCTGTTATTATTATTAAAAAATTCTGCCCAAATATTAATTGAAGTAAACAAATCTAATGAACCCCCCCAAACTTTAGAAATTTGCTTTTAAATGTATCTCAGAATTTAAATCAATTGTGGGCTTCTCACTGTTCTACAGAAAGTTAACAGCCAGAGGAATGAGGCAAAGGGAAAAGAAACTGTAAACTACTCAAAACAGTCATATATATATATTTCTGCGGGGTTGTGGGGAGGGGGTTGGAAGAAGCGTCCACTAGGCAGAAAGCTAATTCCTTCTAAAATTTTCGGCACCCACATTTCCAAGTTTGGGCAAAGTTTCTGAAATCACGTCCCCCAGCCACCGAAGAAATTTCAGTATTCCCCCCCTTTCCACCCAGTCGTTTTTAAAAGTATCCAAAGATACAGGAAGGAGAGAGGTTAGATTGCAAATGGTTCGACTTAAATCTCCGGACTACTGATGCTTGTCCTCTTCTTCAGAGCCAAACAGGGGAGATAACATCTAGACTCACTATGTCCAGAACTTGGAGCATCTAACCCTAACTACTGAGAAAGACTCCAGCTCACTCCCTTTCCTTTTAAAGGATAACCGCGCTCCAAACTCGGTTCCCGGTCCTAAAGTGTCACTGCCTTCAGTTTTCCCACTCCTCTCCATCCCAGACTCGCTAAGTTGGTCCAACATCTTCAGAGAGCAACGTTGCTCAGAACAGACCCCGGGGAGACGACAGAAGTACAAACCCCTGCCCTCAGCCGAGCCTCCCAGCGCATCCCCTCTCGCTTACCCTGGGCGCTGCGGTCCTCCATGAACTGGCAGAGCAGCAGCAGCAGGAGGCAAAGCCCGCCGGGCTGGTGCCTGGGACGGACCATCCTGGGGG